ATGTTCCTATCTCAGTAGCGAGGCGTGTAAAGCACTGAGTTAACGGATGCAGAGGAGAGGCACTAAAGTAGGTTGTTATTGTTACTGCCACTTTTCATCCTGCGCTGTCCCTCTGGACACATAGGTTGCGTCTACACAGCAGCATTTTTCCGGAAAAACAATACGTGCGTCCACACTGCCATTGAGTTCGTTCGGCAGAAAGTCAAAAGAACAGAGGGGTTTTCCGACGGCAGTAAACCTCATTCTACGAGGAAGAAGCCTTTTTCGGAAAAAGGCGTGTGTGGATGCAGAAGAGGGAGTTCTTTCGAAAGAAGAGGCTCCAGGAAATAACTCATAGACTCATAGACTTTAAGGTCAGAAGGGACCATTATGATCATCTAGTCTGACCCCCTGCACAGTGCAGGCCACAAAATCTCACCCACCCCTCCTAGAATAATCCTCTCACCTATATCTCAGATATTGAAGCCTTCAAATACTTTGAAGACCCCAAGATGCAGATAATCCTCCAGCTGTGATCTGTACCCCATGCTACAGAGGAAGGCGAAAAACCTCCAGGGCCTCTGCCAATCTACCCTGGAGGAAAATTCCTTCCTGACCCCATAACACAGGTGCCCTGGTGGTCACGCCATCCAGAATAATCACAACTTAAATGCGAAATAGCGTCCAATCATAATCAGAACTTAAATGCGAAATAGCGTCCAATCAATATGGACGCTATCTTTCAAAAAATCACATTGCTTTTTCGTTGCGCTTTTGTTGTGTGGACGCTCTCTTTTGAAATAAGCTTTTCTGGAAGATCTCTTCTGGAAAAGCTTCTTCCGAAAGAAGCTTGCAGTCTAGACGTAGCCACACATCCTTAATATCCAGAAACCTACTCACCCCACTCTCCCACTGGACACTAAAAGACTAGGTAATGACAGACTTTGATACCCCATCTGCTCAGGCTGTTGTAAAGTCTAGGGTGCATTTGCATTGCTTAAATCTGTCCTAGAGGGATAGTCCTGCTGAGGGAATAACTGATACATCTTGTGCATCCCTGGTCATTTGGAAGCTAGCTGATCTCCCTCGCTTTTATTTGACGGAGAGGGCCCTCTACCCAAGCGTTAAGATGAACAGAGGTGGGGAGGTTAGGGGTGTCACAGTGGAGTCCTGCCACAGAGAATTCCCCTCCCTGAGGAGTATGTTTCTTGACCTCCTGGCTTACTCTCCAACAACTACTGATGGTGTAAAACCCCCCTGCCTCGCAAAAGGTCCCTTGGCGCTGCAGAGGGGTTTGGACACATCTGGAAGCCGAGCTGCCCTCATCTGTTGCAGCTTCTGATTTAAGATTCCAGAATTCTTCCGCATCATGCAAAGAGAACGCTGGATACAGCGGGGAATTAAGGAGGGCTTGCCAAGAGTTTGTCTTGGGGCCACGTTGCCAGAGTGTGGGACGCCAGCCAAGCCTCTTTCTGACAGCAATCAGCCTGGGCCCCAGTATGGCTCGGGATCAAGAGGGGGTGAGAATGAAGGGATGGGTTGAAGGGACTAGGACAGGAGCTGGGAAAATGGCAGTGAATCCACCCTTCCTCTACATGGATGGAGCATCTGGCTGGAAGTTTGTGTAGCTTGGGCTTGTACTAACTTTTCTGCTCCAGGGGCATCTGCTTGCAAGGGGAGTCCTGCCTTCACCACAGCAGCTCAATGCCATAATCCCAATCTGCATTGAAGCGCCCGATATCCACTCACTTTGGCAGCTGAGCACAGGAAGCAAACTAATTCCTCCTCCTGTGGGGATTAAGGATGGATGGTTAACTTGTGCCCCTGCTGACTCATTGGCCTTGCAATGAATAGCAGGGCGTACGTTGTAGGGCCTACATAAATACCCTAACTACTCCAATTGAAGTCAGTGGCAGAATTTCTATCATGGGTGATGGGAGCAGGTTTGGGCCCACAAGCATGGTTATTAGGGTACTTTAACAAGCAAAGGCAACAGGGGCTGTAGTGATACTATACAGTGGCAATTAGCTATTTCATTCGGCTGCCTGCGGAAGGCCAAGTCCAAAGCCCAAGGAAGCCACGTGACAGGGTGTCCACAAACCACCACCCCTACGCCCTGCCAGAAAAAGTGGGTGCAGAGTGCAGTCCTTCAAGGACAGCCTACATCAGCAGCAATGAGGATTGGTTCTCCAGCGGGAGCAAGCAATAGCCAACAGCGCAGCAAAGTACTGCCTGGAGGCTTTTCGTCTGCCACTCTGATTGGCCGTAATCGCAGCCAGTAACAGTGCCTAGGAGTGGTGGGGGACATGGAGCCATGTGTGTACCTGGGGAGCTGCACTAGGTAAAATACCCCTCTCGCCCAAACCCTGCACCCCCACTCAGCTCCTGCATACCCCTCCCACCCAGACCCCCACCCTCGGCACCCCGGGCTCGCTCCTGCACCCCCCCCCCCTTAGTGGCTATTGTTTGGTTTTCCTGGTTTCACTCTTCTCTCCTGTATCATTTGCTAGGATAAATAAGTCATGCAACATATGCGTGTGTGTATGCACCCACGCATGCGTGGGATGGGACTGGGGGCATATCACAGAAGAAATGGCTTTTGACCTCTTAATCCTTCCACTAGAGTAGCAAACAGATGGTGCTTAAAAAGAGGGTCTGATTCCTCGGGGGTTTATTCTTTCGTATGTCTGACATCTCTTGAAATATCTTTGTTCTCTTTTCTCTTCCATAACTGATTGCAGCACATGTTTGTGATTTTAGAGACGGTTGGATTGGTTACAATGCATTCATGTTTTAGAGGAAAACTCAGTCATGGATAGACTGAGGAAAAGGACAAAGTTTGGCCTATAAAATAACCTGCTTAAGTAGGGTTTTACTTGGAGGAGAGGGGGAGTTGTTCAGTGCTGAGAGCAAAGGAATCTGGACTCCTATGGCCCTGGCCTTACCTCTTGCACTGACTCACTGTGCAACCCTGTAACATGAAGGTGATAAATGTACCTGCCTCCTGAGAGCATGGGAGGGATTGACTGCATGGCAGTTGCTCCTGTTGATTTAATGAAAGGTGTGAATTTAACCTGGTGCAAATCCAAGTGGCCATTTTTACAATCAATTTAGTTTAACCCGATTAGAAACAGTTTTGAACTAAACCAGTAGCCCCTCGTAAGCTGAAATCGGAGCATCCACACACGGGGTTGTGCTCATTCACCTCACCCAGTTTAATTAAACCAATGCAAGTCTGTGTGTGGACAAAGCCTGAGCATGTACTAATGAATGACGGTAAAATGCTTTGAGAAGCCAGGTGCAAGGGTACTATGGAAGTGAAGCGCCAATTCCGATTATTTCGGTTTGATTAATTAATTAATTAATATTCAGGCTTATTTTGCCCCTCTTAAACATCAATCAGATGATCCCCAAGAGGTTTTACCCTGGCTCAACTAAACCAGCTCAGCTAACGCTGTGCCCTTGGCTGTGCACCTTGGTTCCTCCTGTACGCCAAAGGCAGCGTCTTGCACTGACATGGCACCAGCGCCCATCACTGCACACGGCTCCAGGCAGTGGAGAAAGCAGTACGCAGACAAGAGCCGTGGAAGGAATATAAACCCCCATGCTTCAGGTCATAAGCCAACCTCTCACTATTGAGGATCAGGAGGAAGCTTCCCCTGGAGCAGGGTATCCCATCACTGCCGGTTGCAGTGCTTCTTCCACTGAAGCTGGTGCTAACTGCTCTCCGAGATGGGCTCTTGGCTAGAGGGACCCCAGGTATGACCCAGCCTGGCAGGTCATAGAACCATAGAACCAGAAGAGACCTCAGGAGGTCATTAAGTCCAGCCCCCTGCCCAAAGCAGGACCAATCCCAACTGAATCATCCCAGCCAGGGCTTTGTCAAGCTGAGACTTAAAAACCTCTAGGGATGGAGATTCCACCACCTCCCTAGGTAACCCATTCCAGTGCTTCACACCCTCCCTCCTCCCCCAGTGAAATAGTTTTTCCTAATATCCAACCTGGACCTCTCCCACCACAACTTGAGACCATTGCTCCTTGTTCTGTCTTCTGTCACTACTGAGAACGGTCTCCCTCCATCTTCTTTGGAACCCACCTTCAGGTAGTTGAAGGCTGCTATCAAATGCCACCTCACTCTTCTCTTCTGCAGACTAAACAAACCCAAATCCCTCAGTCTCTCCTCATTGGTCGCCCTCCGCTGGACCCTCTCCAGTGCGTCCACATCTTTTCTGTAGTGGATGCAATACTCCGGAACTGGACACAATACTCCAGACGTGGCCTTACCAGAGCTGAATAAAGGGGAATAATCATTTCTCTGGATCTGTTGGCAATGCTCCTCGTAATGCAACCTAATATGCCACTAGCCTTCTTGGCTACAAGGGCACACTGTTGACTCATATCCAGCTTCTCATCCACTGTAATCGTGTGCTGCTGATCCAGCCAATAGGCATAGTCACTAGCTGGGAGGGAGCTGCTGCCGCTCTTCTGCATTGAAAGGGCCAGTGGTGAGACAAGTGGGCAAGGGGGGAACCTAGGCACAGGGGGAGCTCTCATGGTGACTAAGTGGTTCTGGCGGAGTGCTTGTCAGGAAGGGATGTTTGTCATCACCAGGTTTCTCCAGGTGTCACCTTGGTTCTTGAATTACTGGGTCTTTGTGCTGACACTTTCTTTCTCTCAGTAAAGGCTGAGCCAGGCTGTGTGTGTTCACCGGCCAAGGCTGCGCTGCAAACAGATGAAGCCAAAAAGGGTGGCTCATGGTGCCCTCCTTGCCCAGTGGAGACCAAATTTGCTGAGACCAACTGGCCTTCGGTGGGACTCCAGGTAGCCAGGCCTGTTCTCTCTCGCTGTCTCTGCCTGCAAGGCCTGGTACTAGGCCTGCACCTGTAAAAAAAGGCTCCCAGGGACTGGGTTTGGCCATGTCCCTCCAAGTTCCACGATGCTTATAGAGCGCCGGTGACGTGTGTGTAGCTTATCTGTGACCGTGGCCTGGGTTCTCACCCTCTCTCCTTCCTTCCCTGCAGGACATGCGGAAACATGTCACCCTGACGCTCCTGGATACCGAGCAGTCCTACGTGGAGTCGCTCCGCACCCTGATGCTGGTAAGGGTGTCGCCGAGACATATGGGGAGGAGAGCGGGGGATCGATTGCACGCGCAGGCAGAGATCACCACCTGCCTCCCACACGTGACATCAAGGCTAGGACACAAGGCCCATTCCAGAAAAACAGAGCACTTTAGTTGTCAGTAGTAGTGGAGCTTTTATCCAATACAGATACTCCTCCACTAGAGGGCAGTGCTGGATACAGACATGGCTCCAAAACCAGGGTGGCAAGTCTGCGCGTTCTCTGGTCTCCTTCCCTTTGCAATGCTCCTACTGTCGTATCTCCTTCAGAAGAAGTTGGGTAGTTCTCTCGCTAGACTGTCCTTCGGGGCGACGGAGCCTTCCCAAGAGTGGGGGACAATCCGTGGTCCCGCCTCATCCTTTGCTCTGCCTCTCAGCCAAGCCTCAGGCCCCTCCGCCTGCCCTAGAGGGGCAAGCACAGTTCCTGGCCCTTGTCCTCTCCCTTCAGAGCCCTTGCCCAGGACAGGTGGAAGGTCTACGGCTCCCCATCGTTGCCCATGCAGCTCCTACCTCCACCCAGCTCTGGCCCCCAGACTGATCAGAAGGTGCGGCCTTGGAGCCGCAACACAGCCATAGTAAGAGCCTCCCAGGCATCTGTGGGGAGCCCTGGACCCTCTGTCTGCCCTGGGCGAGGAGTGCCAGGGGCAGGGCTACAGACTAGGACTTCTGTCAGGACCCTACAGCCTGGGTCCAGGGGGTGGGACCTCAGGCAAAAGAGGAGGAGCAAGGGGCTGAGCCTGAGGCGAAAAATGGATGGACCGGGCCCGTCCACTTTCAAAACTTGGGAAGGTCGTAGCCCCTTGCCCCTTCCATTCTGGTGCCCCTGCTGTGATTGTCAGTACCTGCGGTGGTGTGTTGCAGTAGTGAGTGCTGGCCACACCCTGACTTCACTCACACCTGCAATGGGGTTGCGTGGCTGGAGTGTGGCCCATTACCATCGTGGGAGCACCTGGTCCTGGAGAGTGCAGTGATGTCTTAGGCTTCGTCTTCACTGTGAGTTCTTCTGGCAGAAAATATGCTAATGAGGGACTCATTAGCATGAGTTGTGATCTCATTTGCATATTTTCTGCCGATCTGTTTTGGCGCAAAAAGAAAACATCCACGATGCTTGTTTTTGCGCAAAAACGGATCAGCAGAAAATATGCAAATGAGATCATGACTTATGGTAATGAGTCCCTCATTAGCATATTTTCTGCCACAAAAACTCATAGTGTAGATGCAGCCTTAGGGAACAAGGACCATGGAAGACTTTGACCATCCAGACAGAGACCCTGAGTGGGACTCTGCATTTGGTGAGAGCTTACGGGGAGAGCAGATGCTCGGATGCTGTGCTGACTGCAACCTGAGCTTATTTGGAAATAACTACTCCCCAAAGTAATCCAAATTAATTACTCCCCAGTGCTTCCTAGGGCTCAAGTCGAGGTAGCATGTCCACATTAGTGAAACCTGACTCAGACTAATTTTGAGGCTTCCCCATTAGGGATGTGAAGGACTAGTTGACTGGTCGACTATCTCTTAAGCGAACGCTTATCAGATACTCAACAGGCTAGTCCACTAGTCGCTTCCCCTAATGCCTCTATCAGAAAGAGGCAGCAAGGAGTGGGGGGAAGAGGAAAGGCTACTTAAAAGCGGCAGCGCCACATTGATCCTAGGGCCAGCTGAGGTGTCCCCAGGCTGCACACGGCATTTCAAAGCAGCAGCGCCACATGGAGCCCAGGGTCAGCGGGGCATCCCCAGCTAACCCCGGCTCCACATGGCGCTTTCGCTTTTGAAGTGTAGCAACAAGCAGAGGCGCCCTATTGACTAGTCTAATAGTCGATTCAAAAATTCATCGACTATTCGATTAGTCAATTAGTCAATATTTAACATCCTTATTCCCCGTAATGAGGACACGCTTGATTTTGTTAAATTGGGAGTTATTAAATCAATTTGAGTTGTTTCAAAATAATTTCCTAGTGTAGACATGCCCCAGATGGACAGGAGGTTAACTTTGCAGGGTCCGCATCAGAATAACCCTGGGTGACTTTACATGGCACTTTGTTACACTAATCTTCATTAATCGCGTGGAACAAAATGTGTATTCCCAGGCCCAGCTGCCCTCAGGGACCTTTGAATTAACTTTGTAGGAAAAGGACTTTTGAAAAGCTCTCTGTGCCTGGGAGTGACTTGGTAGCATGTGCAATGGCCAATATCCAGCATATTCACAGCCGAGCCTCGGCTTGTACCACAGCCCTGGGGAATGCAGTGGCTTTAAGGAGTCACTCAGCCAGCTGGATGCAGCCAGAGTACAGACCTGGCCACAGGGCATTCTGGGAGAAATCTCTAATGCCACCTTTGGTTGCCCTTGTTTCAGATACAGAGGAGGAGACCTGTGGAGATTACCAGGCTAAGCCAGGCTGGAGCCTGGATTCTCCCCAGGCTGCAGTGCAATATTAACGATGACAAAGTCAATCAAGGAGCCTATGGAAGAGACGTCTCTAGTGCAGGGACATTCCCACAGCAGCGGGGAGATGGACTAGATATTTTAGTGTCTATATTGTGCTGGTCCAGAAGGGAGCTGAAAAAGATTCCCAGCTGGCTACTGTTACAGCTCAAAGGGACCCACACAGGGAACAGAAATTGAGCATCTGTCCTTTTTTTTTCTTCGCAAAGCATAAAAACGGCCCGAAGGGATGAGGGTGTTTTAGATAAGGCAGCATTATTTGGAGTCTGTTTCTAATAAAGTAGCACACGGCAGATCGAGGTGCCATTGTGCTAGGTGCTGTACAAATATAGATCAGGACAATTCCTGCCCCAAAGAGCTCAAACTAATTTATGGAAAGGTGCAAGGGCTAACTTAAGAGAGGTGGGAAAGCATGGTCCAGTGGTTGGGGTACTTGCCGGGAATTGGGGTGTTCCAGGTTCATTCCCCTGCTCAGCCAACCTGTGGAACTCCTTGCCAGAGGATGCGGTGAAGGCTCGAACTTTAACAGGGTTTAAAAAAGAGCTAGATGGATTCATGGAGGTTAGGTCCATCAATGGCTATTATCCAGGATGGGTAGGAATGGTGTCCCTAGTCTCTGTTTCTCTGGAAGTGGAAGACATGAGGATTCCCTGTTGTGATCCTTCCCTCTGGTGCTGGCCACTGTTGGCAGACAGGATACTGGGCTAGATGGACCTTTGGTCTGACCCAGCATGGCCGTTCTTATGTTAGTGGCTTTGTGTCTCCCACCCCATCCGTACTCCCCTCTGTGAACAGATGGGTGGATTATCTCCCTCGAGGTCCTAGCTCCTTAGTGGGAGATCAGCAAAAATCCTTCAGCGGCACATTTTACTCCTATGCAGAGACACCAAGAATATAGGGATGGGCAGACATGCAAGGCAGCTCCTGGCAGGGTGGTTTTTCTGCTGCTTGTTCAGCTCCATTTTCAATTTATTTCTTTGCAAAAGAAAACCCAAAGCCAGAAGATCTCTGCTTTTCAGGGAATGGCCTGGGAGTCACAGCACACAGGAGCTAGGAATAAAAGCCGTGATGCTTAGGAGAGGACAGCATGATGCAGAACATAAGCTGTCGGGAGGGAGTGTTAATACACAGACATTTACCCTAGGCTATCCACTCTGGGGAAGAGGGGAAGGCTGGTGCTGGGAATGGAACTGGCTTTGTGGGGACGATTAACAGGCTACAGCTGCCTCTGCCCATCAGGCTGTGGCAAGGTGCTTTCTGCAGGGGCCATGCTGCTCTGAGCCAGGTCGCCGAGGCCAGGCAGCTAAATTTAGTAGGAGTATTTCTTTCTCTTTCGCTGCTGGGATTGCCAGGCTGGAGACAGGCGCTTAGCTTGAAAACCAGTGCTTGTTCATGAATCAGGTGTTTTCCCCCTTACGACGTATCGGGTGAAATCCTGGCCCCAGTGAATTCAGTGGACGTTCTGCTATTGATTGCAATGGAGCCAGGATTTCCCCCTTTGCAGCGAGGAGAAAGAGCCTCTCCCAAGCTCGCAGCACCTTTGACATAATGTTTAAAAATGTCATTAACAGAACACCTGTACACCACACAGTCCCATTGTGGTCCTACTCCTCCCTCTCCGGCCCTTGGCTGTTCATTGGATTTGCACGTTGTCACTCATTAACACACTAGTAAGCTTGTACGTTCTTCGGGGCAGGGGCGGGTGTGTATAGCACCTAGCGCAATGCAGTGCGGATCCTGGATTGAGACCTCTGGGTATCACCCTAATGACATGACCACCGAGAGATCAGATCAGCCATCTCCTACCAGGCCCACAGTCACGCCATATCCTGTCCCATCATGCCCTTCCTGGTCAAATACCAGGGCATGTTAATGGGCCTTGCAACATACTCTGAAAGACATCGGCTTCAGACGGAGCTCTGATGTCATTTCACCACCTAACAAGTACCCTGCAGGGCAGCCCTGCCTAGAGAGCCTGTCCGCAGCCTCCTCTGGAGAGGGCAAAGCGACAGAGCACACCGGCAGGGTCCCTGTGCCAAAGAACCAGGCTGCAAGTTTCGGGCAAGATGCTGCTGCCTTGTCATCCTGAGACACCAGCTGGCAGTGTGGCCATGATCCAAGCTGTGAAACCTCCTAGTGAAGGATGACTTGCCCCTCTCATCAAGCATGCTGCTGTAACTCTCATGATGGATTCTAGTTGGTTCCCCCAGCCTGCCAGCACCCTCTTGCTTGTATCCAGAGGGGTCTCCAGCTAGCTTGTTGCCATCCACACCTCAAGCAGGAGGGAAGGTCATTGCTGGCACTGGTTGGGTCAGATGGAGTCGAGTCTATGCCAAGGGCTGCTGGGTAAAGAGGACAGTTGCCTGGAGCCCAGCGATTTAAAAGGGCTCTGGGCTGCCACTACCATGTATGTGGTGGCAGCCAGAACCCTGGGCCCTTTAAATCTCTGCCAGAGCCCCACACAGCATAATCTGGGCAGTGCCGAGGGCTGGCTACCTTTAGCCCCTCCCCTTCTGCCCAAAGCCCCTCCCCCTCTGGGGGCCCAGAGCCAAGCACCAGCCCTGTCCATGCCTCCTCCTCCCAGCAGCCCCCTAGAAAGCTCCCTTCATAAGAGCAATTGCCCTCTGGGAGCTCTCGAATTCAGGCAGTAAGAACAAACCCAGTGGAGGAAATCTTGTCTGCTCCCAGTGCAGCTCACAGAGGAGCCAACGCCATGTGAAGGCAGCTGGTAGCTCCCCCAGTCCAAAAATAGCTGCTCAGTGTCTATCCCTGTCCCAGAGTAGAGGTAGCAGCTTTTACCCCTGGATCTCAGAGCCTCTCAGACATTCATTAACTGAGCCTGCCTGGATCGTTGCAAGGAGGGTTACGGGTTGATATACTCTTTGTATAAATGGGGGAATAATGGGTCAGTGGTTTTCAGAGTGAGTTGCGACCCAGTATTGGGTTGTGGAATGTCAGGCACTGGGCCCCACGGCTGCAGGAGGATCAGATGGCCAGTGGGGGTGTTAAGTCAGTTAACTGCCTGACCTGGGCACCGCAGACTCCACTGCGCCCCAGAAGTGGCCAGCAACGGGCTCAGCTCCTAGGAGGCAGGGAGCGGCGAAGGGGAGAGCGCACAGGGCTCTGTGTACTACCCCTGCCCTGAGCACTAGCTCCACACTCCCATTGGCTGGGAACCTGTTGCTGGCTGCTTCTGGGGTGCAGCCTGGTCTGCCAGGAGAGACAGGAAGCTGCCTTAGCACCCCCTCTGTACTGCTAACCGGGAGCTGCTCAAAGTAAGCTTCCCCTCCTGCCCCAGCCCTGACCCTCCTGCCCCCAAAGCTGGAGCTGCCTCCTACACCCCAAAGCTCTCCTCCTCAGCCCCACCCTGGAACCCACACTCTAGTCACATTATGTTGGGTCGTGGGCATCAACAATTTTCTTCAGCTGGGTCATGAGAAAAACAGTTTGAAAACCACTGGGTGAAGTAACATGTCTAAGGTCAAATAGCAAATCAGTGTCACAGCCAGGGATGTAATTCAATGGTTCTGGCTGCCAGGTTCTTTCTCTAACCCCTAAACCTGCTCCATTCCCCCTCGGCGGGTTAACTCAGACCCAGTGATCGTGGGACATGAGAGGAGTGTGACAATGCTAGGCTGGGACAATCTGATTTAGAAGTTAGAGGAAGTTATACTGGGGCAAGATCCTAAAGCCAGGTGGAAAGTGTGTTCTCTGGCTAAGGCCGTGCACCCTGAAACTCATTCCAGAGTGACTGAAACCAGCTTTATACTAAACCCCTGGAAAAGGGGGGGATTTCTTTTGGAAGTGCCACCCTAGCACAATGTTTCACTTCACCTCGCTGCAGTCTTGGAAACCAGTGCCAGTATTCTAAGCCATGTGAACCGCATGTCATGTAGACATGTAATCCAAGGGGAAATGTCCCCATGGCTGAAGCCAGCTGGCCTTCGAGTGAACAGAAGAAGCACCCAAGGTCGTCGGCCTTGCGTTGGGGTGGTTGGAATCTGCTGCCGGAACTAGCGTCTCTAAATAGAATTGTAGCCTCAGCTTGGCAGCAAGCAACGCAGCGAAGGTCACCCCAGGCCTCTTTGTGCAAGCCCCCCGCTTTCTGGAGCATTTGTTGAACCTGTTTTATGAGTTCCCAGATAAGAGAGTTGCCCAAGATCATATAGCAAGTCTGTAGCAGGCCCGTGTCTTTTGAGTCCTACGTCAGTGCCCCTAGGCGAAACCATCTGGCCCAGACAGGGGCGTATGGCAGTTAGCGCTATGTCCGGCGGTGAATATTTGGAGCATTGTGTTTCCATGGAAATTATCATTCCTGAACCCTTTCACTGGGCTTGATGCAGAACGTGGAGTCTGTGGCTTGGTCGCATGCGCAATCAGGGCCCAGCTGTGTCTCCCGATACGCAAGCACAACTTCCTCGGACGTCAGCGAGGCTCACCCACACACGCCAGAGAACACTCCAGTGCTGGCGTGGTGGGAAAGAACCAAAATAGCATCCTGTGGAATAGAGAACTGAATCCGCTCCAGGTGTCCTGCTTTTGAAAGGCCCCTCAGCCCAGCTGCCTATTGGCACCTGCACTCTTGGGCGTGCACAAGTACGCCCAAACCCAGTCGGGGGGCACGTAGCTGATGATTAAGTGGCACCAGTGCTCCCACATGAGTGTAGTGCGATTCAATAATTCTTTCACCCACTGGCTGAAATCTTGGCCCCCTGCTCTGCTCCGATTGCCCCAGGCAGCAGCACAAAGAGGACAGAACCAGGCTGGCTGGCTTCTCAGCCACCTTCCCACAGCCCCTCTGGCAGGAGGTGGGGAGGAGGTGTTGCCGTACTCTGGTTATGCCTAGCACCTGGGTGGCTTGCTGGCAAAGTCTGCCACCTCCTCAGATCTCTAAACCTGCTGAGATGGGCGTAGCACACTCCTGGGATTAGAAAACCGCAGCCAGTCTCTCACCTTCTTGCAGCTAGAGGACGGAAGGGAGGGATGGCTCTGTGGTAGGGCTAAATATCACTGGACTGCACAGGCAGCACATGCTGATTTCCACCATGCTGCCATGACTTTGTGTCATCTGAGTGCCCCCTCGGGTGCCCCGCCTGCAACCTGGAGGTCACACACTAGATCGCCCACCCCTTTAGTGCTCTGTGACAGCATCTCAGCAGCACCTGTGGGCAGACATCCACGGTGAGAGACACAGGGCAGACCTTCTGTGAAGCTGGGGGAGTGGGCACTAGGTTGGCTTGAAGACAGGGGCTAATAAGCGTTTAGAGCCCTTAGAATTCACACTGTGAAGTTCCTGGAAATGTGTTTGTATTAAGTGTGCAGCTCAGCAGAGCACACTGCCCCCAGGAATGACCGGTGCAGGAGATGGAACTGCAGAGAAAAAGCAAACTACCCCTCCTCCCCACGCTCCTGGTTCCACAAAGTGACTTCAGACTTCTCCCGTTCCAGCACTGCAGATTGCTGTGTTTGGAGGTGGTGGCAGTGGGAACAGCGAGGATTCCTCTAGCTTTGTGTGTCTGGGTTTTGCAAGGTGTATGCCTCTCTTTCCAGCTAGCCATCAAGAAAGGTAGGCACTCGCCAGAGCCTCGAGACATCTGGGTTCTGTTTCTGTGTGTCCCACTTACCTGCTGTGTGAGCATCAGCAAGTCACGTGACTGCCTTGTACCTCAGTTTCCCCTCTCACCACTTGTCAGTCCTGTAAGAACTGAGGATACATCTATACTGTAGCCTTTTTGCGCAAAACATATGCAAATGAGGCTAAGTGTGAAATATTGCTACGCCTCATTTGCATAATTAATGAGCGCCCAGTTTCACGCAAGAGGCTTTTGCGCAAAAAGGAGCCATCTACACAGCTCCTTTTTGTGCAAAAACCCCCTCTTGCACAAGAGCCATTCTTTTGGAAAAAATGCGGAAGAACGGCTCTTGCGCAAGAGCGGGTTTTTGAGCAAAACCGGGCACTCATTAATTATGCAAATGAGGCGTAGCAATATTTCACACTTAGCCTCATTTGCATATGTTTTGCGCAAAAAGGCTACAATATAGACTTAGCCTTAGAGTGGGATCTGGATATTGAGAGCTGGCTATGAAACCCATAAACTCTTAGCAGGTTTCCTTTGTGCTTTGTCTCTGTGGCTTAATTTAAATGGAGACTCTTTTCAGCCAGCACAACTTGGGTTGTGATGGCAATTCTGGATAGGTTACAGTAGAGGAAAGGCAAAGGGAGATTTTTATAGGAATGTGGTTCTGACGTGATAGATTAAACTTGGCAGTGGGCAAAAAGCTGAGACACACCACTGTTAAAAACCACTCTATAACCTTTCCAGTAAGGGTCTCAGAATAGTCTGCCAGGATGGGTAAGTATCATCCCATTTACATGTGGGGAAACCAAGGCACAGGTGCTGCTTTCCTTTACTATGACTCACTCTTGGGAGGCAGGAATGGGTTTAAATTACAGAGGGTCAGTAGTTTGGTCAACCCCACAGGGTAGCTGGAGTGGCACAGGTGTCATGGGCCCCATCTGTCCCTGGCTCCACCAAGAGGGTGTTTTGGTATCTTTTGTTCATTATTATTACTTATATTTTTGTAGGGTTACATGAAGCCCTTGAAGCAGCCAGAAAACTCGATCCTCTGTGATCCGTCCTTGGTGGACGAGATATTCGACCAGATCCCCGAGTTGCTGGAGCACCACGAGCAATTCCTGGAGCAGGTCCACAACTGTGTGCAGAACTGGCATGAGAAGCAGAAAGTGGGCGACGTCCTGGTACAGTCTGTAAGTGCAGCAAACTTCCCCCCACACACCACATGATACAGTGCTGGGGGCTGAAACC